CTATTATATATGGATGACTTGAGAATTAAATGATGTTAATAATGTCAATATAGATGGCGTACGATCCTTGACGGAGGCCTGTGTGTGAAATTTTTTGAGAGAATTATGTGTAGGGCACACAAAGCATTATTGACTTGCTTCACTCTATTCGACTCTTGTCTTCTCCTTCTAGCTAGCCATCGAACTTTTAACATTCAGTGTGAGTAAAATGTCACGGAAAAGTATAAGGATAATCTGTGAAGAAATTAACGTAATTATTAGTCCATAATATACAAGTATATCTCTCAAAATAGTTTGTTTGTTCGTAGTACATGATGAGCACCATAGAGACACCCTTAAAGAGCATGATTTGGCTACTTAAAATTAAGGGATCCTCCTTAAAACGAATGGACTTTGATATTTGTCAAATTCCAGTAACATTGACAAATTTTTAACCAAAAAAAAAAAAGAATATTTAAAAAAATTGACACGTGTCAAAACCACACTTATAGTAAGGAGTTCCTCCTCAATTTTAAGGAGCCATGCTTTTTCCATTAAGATATGGATGTCCATTTTCTTGGGCATGGCTTTTTCAATGCATTAATTGCAATTTATTCTCATTAATTTTAAGGAGATCAAATTTTTGAATCACATTTGAAGATTACATGACACGACATGTGATTTAAAATGTAGATTTATTTGAAGTTGATGATTTTATCCATTTTGACATGTTATATTGTACTTATCATTTGCTACTGAACCTCATTGCATCATGTGGACACCATTCGTTCACATAAAATCATTCGTAATTTTCTGTTATTATAACATAAAGAAAGAGGGGCAATATATATTTCACAAATTCTGCGTGCGATATATTTTCCAAAAATTCTTTGTGCATGACGTTAATTCTATCTTTAATTAAATACTGGACTATCAATATTCACATAGATATTTTATTGAAGTTGGCAAAAGTATATCGTTAACATATCAATATGTTTATTATTGATGATAATAATATCGATATCGACACATTATCCACTACATGTGGACAATTCTATCTTTATTGAAGATTAAATGCTTGATACATAGCCAGACTATAATAATCGACACGTTACCAATTACATGTCGAGAGTCCTACCTTTATTAAAGATCAAACGTTTAATATAGAGCCGGACTAATTATCGACACATTACATGTCTCGAGTCCTATTTTTATTAAAGATCTTGTCCTTTCTATAGTTAGATCATGGGCAGAAAGTAATGGCGTAGTTAGGTCCACCATTGCATGTAAATGTACCCTTGTTGTCATCATAAGCATAGCTGTAAGCGTTGGGGCATGCTTGACTGAATATCTGAGAGTAATTTGTCGGTGGGCATGTCTCTGGAGTGTTTTGAGGCGGAGTGCAACAGTACTGTGGCTCACTGAATTTAACACATGCGCTCAAGCAGGCAACCACGCTCCCATCGGACCCTATCTTTTGCAGCTCACTCGGACAAACTGCGTTCACGTTTGCCGGGCAAGTAGCCGTCTTGCAGTCGCCGGTACCGCCTTGTGGAGTCACAGACATGGGCAAGTTGAAGCCATCAACAAGACTAACGTCGTAGAAATCTTGTCCTCCGCCTGCTGGAATATTGAATTCCGCTAAAGTTGCCGGCGGAATGGCACCGGCACCGTTGCACGTGACCTGACCAGAGGCACAGTCTGCGGTGGCACAGACGAACTTTCCAGAGGCGTCCGTGGAGCATCCAGTTCGGCCCCAGAAGCGGCCGTTCCATGGCACCGGAGTGTCTAGGCTGAAGCTAGCTTGGGATGCTAACTCGAACCCTGTGGTTGATAATTGAGGTTTTTGATCGGAGGTTAGGGTTCCTGGCCAGACCGTGTAGGGGCAATTGTTTTTGAAAGACATTGTCGCTGCATGTGCACCTGCCATGCAAAGTAAACCACACTTAATTTGATACAGTAATCACAAACCACACTTATTGTGACCAAATATTAAATTAAAATTAAAGAAAATAAGAAGCTTCGACTTTAAGAAAAGATCAATGAGTATTTCTATCGTTTGGCCAAAATAAAAAGCTTAAAGAAAATAAGAAGCTTGTTTACCTCCGAAGGAAAGGATGGTTAAGCTGAGGCTGAGGAATACTACTAGGGTCTTCATCATGGGAATATCTTTGTTTGCTTTGCTTCGAATTTGATGAGCTTGGGCTTTAGTTATATAGGCTTGGTGCGGGCCTAACTTTTTGTCCTTTTGCAGGACTATGGCTGCTGCGATGACAAGTCACAAGGCAACTAGTCTTATGATTTTTTTTTGGGGAATTTGAGTACGTAACTTATCAAGCTTGGCCAAAAAAAAAAAAAAAAAAAAAAAAAAAAAAAAAAAAAAAAAAAAACAAATATCATCGTAATCTTCAAATGTGATATATGTCATGTCATATAATCTTAAAACTTAAAACTTCCAAATTTCCAATTAGTTAGAGCTTAAAAGAGTTGATAGAGACACCATGTTACTTTTAAAAATAATATATAATAAATATAATATATCTCTTTATAAAATTAAAAAAAATTTGGCCTCCTAGACAGTGGACCAGAGCAGTCGCATTGACTGCTCCCGTCCAGGATCGACATTGATTTCATCTTAAGAGGTTCCGAGTTTGCATCGTTCTTTTTGTTAATAAAAAAAACAAACAAAATCAAATTACTTTTTGTTTTTGTATGTAGATACTTTTTTTTCTTTTCAATTCTATGTATTTGTTTATTTCTTGCTTTCTGTTTTTTTTTTTTTTTTTTTTTTTAAAATTCAACATTCCTTCGCCAATGTAGAAAGTGCCACTCTAGGAGAAGAAACTGCCACGAACAAACAGAGGTAGAATTTACAGCACAGGATATGCCACTAGAGTCTAAATGTGCAACTGTACTAAACTGTAGGGCCATTGAAATGTGTATTATTAATCCCCCCTAAATTGCCAAAACAAGCAGAGCTAGAATTTTTCCGAGTAGCATCCATTGAGCATGCATGATGAATGACGTGCAGTGCACTTGTCTCCTAGTCGGCAATCAAGTCAAGCCGCCGAGGTCCAAGTCCAATTCGACAAGTAGTTATTTCAGGACCACGTCACTGCTCACAGGTCTTGGTGATGCTTGCTCACACAGTATCAACCCCTTTCCTCATGTTGGCTGCCATTTTTTTTTCTCTCTCTTACGGCCTGCAACTAATGGTCAATTTCGCAGAAAGAAAAAAAAAAGTCGTAAATGTGATGGAAAAAGCAACTAATCCAATAAAAACTTTATATCTTCAAGGAGAAGAATACACAAAAAATTCTGTTGTATTTACTTGACTATCTATTTTCTTCACTCCTTCCCCATCTTTAAATGAACGAAACATCAACATTCCCCTCCCTCTTCCCAATCTATTTCTGAACCTCATAGGACTGCAGTTGGAATGGAACTTCTTGTCCCGTAATTGCGGCAAGCATCTTCTCACTTACTCCCTAATTGTCTCTGAAATTGACTTTACTTGTATTATCTCTTGCTAATAATTTGCTTTCTATTAGTCAAATATCAAATTAGTCCCCAGTCAAATTTTCTTGTAACTTTTTAACCAACCTATTGCTTCTTTTAAAATATCCTCACCAAAGGGACTATTGGTTGTGGTATCAACGTGGGGCTGCATTACATGAATTTGGTTGCAAATAATATGCACCAACTGATCCATTAACAGACCTCAATTTGTTCCACTTGAATGATATCTTCATATCACAGAGCTCAAACCCCTAAACTAGACTAAGCACAAAATCACCAAGCTTAAACCCAAAACATGACTGAGCACAAAATCACCAAGCTCAAAACCATCAAATAGACTGAGCACAAAAACATGGAGCTCAAAGATAGTTTCATACAACTTTTGAGTTCAAAATATCTTCACAAAGCAGACAACATAAGTGTATTCTAGATTGCAAAAACAGAGTGGGATTTTGATCCCACATTACTTGCAGCAGGTTGAGTCCCTCCATTTCTTGCCAAACGTCCTCTAATTGCCTACAATTCAGAGAAACCAAGAAAATCTGAATTAGTGAAGCAAGGAATTCAAAGTAATCAACCAAATCATAATAAAGAAAGCAGCCTTTGCCTATAGCTTAGCCTTTCTTAAGAGATTGCTGGGTTGAGCTGCTTGCAACTTCCCTTCCTCTTCCCATTGAACTTCTTGCTCTTGCACTTCATCTTCCTCTTCCCATTGAACTGCTTTCTTCCACAGTCCGTTGAATTATGTCCTATTCCTTTCCACAACTCTGAGCAATGTATTATAATATACCATATCTAAGTTTATTTGCACCCCTTGGGATCTCATCAACCTCTCTAATCCTTGCCTTATTAGGCCTTCTACTTTGCTTACGATACAATGAAGGTTTATAATGGACCTATGACCTATTTTAACCCGTAACTCTTGGGTTGACATTGGTGAAATGTAATTGATATATGCTCTATCATATGAGGAGTGGGCAGCAACAGATCGGCTCTTTAATTATGTTTCCTTCTAGCATCAATCCCATTCTAGCTCACACTAAAATTAAATGCCATGTTTATAATATGTAAAAGTAAAGGGAGATGGGAGATGTTAATTGCACTCCAATACAAACCATTGCTTTTTCATTGCATTATCATCTTACAGGAAACTCCTAACACCGAATCCTCCAAAAAAGAATAAGAAATGAAGTCCTCAATTGACAAGTATAAAATGAGCATTACCAGCAATGAGAGATATTGCAAATGTCTTTTCGAACAACTTGTTGAAATCTTTCTTGCTAATGAAGTATTTAGGGGTCAATAAAAGCATCTTCACTTTTGAAAATTTCGCCGAATATGAACTTCAGCCACTTGTAAAACCAGTACTCAGAGCAAAGTTTTAGAAGATTTTTTCTTTTTCATTGTGAAAATTGTCTGATAGATGTTTTCAAATCACTGTTAATACTGAACTTCCCTTTGATCTCCACAACAAAAGTTGACTTCTTAACTTCACAGGCTTGTTAATGGTGATATTGCTTGAATATATCTGCCAATGAACCCCATCCATTCTTACTGTACTTCCCAATAGATTCAGCATCATATGAAGAACAAAGAGAAAGCCTATTGTTGTGTGAAAACCTATGATTAGAGTACTTTCGATCCTGGAATTCTAGGCGTTGCTTCGGGGTGCTTAGCGACCTTGTCTTCGCCTTGGCAGATGCTGTCACGGCCATGTAAGTTGGAAGAACTGCAGAAGATGCCATCAATCTGTCATGCTGATGTTGAGCAGAATTGTGCTCTTCTGCATTGCAAAATGATCTCCTTGGTAATAATTGAAATTGTGGACTCAATCCTTCCCTTGAATCTTCATTTCTCAAATGTCTCAGTTGAACTTGTGATCCTCCAAACTTTCCATCAGTACAACCACTTAGATTTGAATGAACGGTTAGCATTTCAGTTGCATTGTCGATCATTGAACCGTCTAGCATTTGAACATTTCTGCTTTCCTGAAAAATACAATAATTATGTGGCACAAGGTAGATAGATGTTAGAAGAGGAAATGGTAGACAATAAAAAGAAAAAGAATTGCTTGAACTTTGACAGCATTTTGGATTTGTCATAAGTTTTCCTGTCTTTTTATTTGAATTCATCTGAAACAAAAAATTCAGATGATTTCAGATTAAAGTACCCGCATAGAAAATGAGTATTTCTTCATCCGCTCTCTTTTGATCATGGCCTCTTGCTTTCTTAGCCGAATGGCTTCCATGTCTTCCTTTGAAATTATACTGCAATCCCACCCTCTCTGGCTGCTGCGTTCAAGCTGTCCATAACAAAGATCTTCAGTAAATCAAATGAGGACTCAGGAATTATGTGGCTTTTATGAAATCAAATTATCTTAGGATCCATTCAGAAGTACAATTAAGAATGGAGAACTCTCCCATTGAAAAGAAAAAAAGAAAACAGAATGAAGAACTATATCAGGCAATGAATGCAGGTTTTACCACCAAAACTGTTCTTCACAGAAATGGTTCCAACTTTAATAAACAATGACATTAAACTAACATTTTCTCCCCTATTATATATACCAATGAAAATTAGCAATTCTATGTCCATATGAATCATCTCACTTACTGTCGCTTCTTTTTCTTCTAACTCCCTTTGTGGGCTGCTGAGCTGTTTCTTTTCGCCTTCATTGCATCCCTCATCTGCAGCTGGAACGCTCCTTTTCCAAATCTCTGCCTGACCTCTTCTGTTGGATGGGGAACGCTTCAAAGTGGTAGCTGCCTGGCGTCTCACAACTCTGCCACGAACTATGGCTTGAAGTCTCACCAGTCCCTTCAAGGCTCGCAATGCTTTCCTTGCCTGTTTCACTTAAAAGTTTTAGACCATGCTACAGAGGAGTGGTGATTTCCTCATTGCCGATAAATGTCAAATTCAGCTTTCACATTTCAAGGACATAAATCAGTTTGACTGAGTTATATTTTGGAAGTTCAAACCAAGGGCCCAACTTTTGTGATCTAAGACTCATAGAGCTTCCGGCTATCTTGTCAGAACTTAGAAAGGTGAACCCCAAAAACAAAACAAAGAATCAGTTAAATGTGACTGCTTATCCCATTCAGCTAAGTGCTTATGAATTCAGCCAATAAAATTGGATGCAAAGTCAGAAAAATATCAAATGAGTTTTTCACAATGAAAATTTAGAGAACCATCTTTAAGCTATATATAAGGTCAGCTTGATTTAAGTAATGGTGTATATACAGCTGCATTAGAAGTGGCGGCCATTCAAAATACTTAAATTCAGTGCCAATGACTTGAGAAATTTACATTCAAATCAGGAAAGAACTCGGAAAAGCTCTGTTACCATCCTATGTTTAGGAGATGCAGATGATCAAATTGAAGGTTAAAAAATATATCTATTTGGTCTTGCTTTAAATTACACTAAATATATATGCACACGTATTTATATGTATTTTCCTCACTTACAAATGGTCAATATATATTCAACTCTTTGAGCTGCCTGACTATGAACAGAGTATTTATGTAAGAGAAAGTTTCCAAGAAGCTCACAAGATGCGCCCGATAAGCGCTTTGAATTTTAATGGCAGCCAAGTTCTTGTCAAACTTTGTGAAATAGCGGTAAGGTTGTGAAGTAAGGCGCACAACCTCAGCTGCAGCAGCCACTGCTGCCTCAGCTGTCGCCATTTTTTTCTGCTCTTCCGTAGCTTCACGTAGCGTCCTCTCTGGTGCTGTCAGTGCAGGTATTGATGAAGTACTTCAAGTCTTCGAAAAATCCATCTCCAGTTGTTTGATTTCTGGAGATTAACAGGACTAATTAACATTACCCAAAAGAGGGCCATAGATAAGCAGTTAAGCATGTTAAGGCAATGAAGGAAGAGTTTAAATTCACCAACCTTTTGTGTCCTTGTCTTTGCTTCAGAAGTAAAGAACCTCTTGACCCAACCAAACCAGCCCTTTTTCTTCGCCATTGATCTACTATTAAGACCATGTTAATCCAATATGTCAAACATCATCCCATATTCTTCAGGCATTTCCTGCAATTTAGGAAAAGATATATATATATATTTATATGCCAAAAATACATAACAACATGAACAAATACTATCTCATGAATCATGATATATACTTGAAAGCTTATAGACTCATAGTTTTCCTCAGTTAGTGATACCAAAAACACTCAAAACCTCTTAAAAGTATAAAACTATTACCATTACTTATGATACTCCAAATGGGATTTTCTTGGTTTTGATATATCAGTAGGTGTTCCATGGTTTTGGCTTTCAAACATAAAAATCAATAGCATACAGGGGGAGAGGGGCACAGAGAGAGAGAGAGAATATGAAAACAAGCACTATTAATAGAAACTTTGCACACCTATGACTCTTTTCTAATGGTGGCTTAGCTTCACTAGGGCCCTCTCTTTCTCTCTCTCTCTCTCACCTGTCAATTCCACAACAACTTCTATTGACGAGTCTAAATGTCGTTATTCTTGAAATTACTGATGCGACGTCTATAACATAGCATTAATTATAATGATTTATGAAATTCTAACATGTGCAAGGCCAAAAATCTATGGAAAATAATGATTATAGTTAAATGGCTATAATAATTGGGTAACACTAATACTGCTCTCCACATTCCATCTCTTGCATGCATTTCTAAAGAAATATTTTGTACTTTCGTGCGCACTCACAAGTGCAATGGAAGCTCAAAAATAGGGCAAGTCTTAGAATTAATCTTTTGTCAAGCTTGAGTGGCAGTTATGTCAAAAGCATGCATGGCACGATAAGTCCTTTTGTTTAGAAGATAACTCGTTACCTCATCCTTCCTCACCATTTGAGGTAACTTTGACGACTTGGGCTCCAATGCTTAGGTTAAACAAACAAAAACAAGAATTAGGGTTCTTAGACTCAATAAATTTGATGGTAGAGACATGATGCTCTGCTTACTCGTGTGAACGATGTTGTATGCTCCTAATTAATGTGTGATTAAGGTTGTGTTGGTTTCCCACGCATCGACCTAAGGGGTAAACTTATTGTCTTCAAGTGTACCATTTTTCATATCAATTTCGAGCCTCCAAAAAGAGCTTCTTAATCTCAATTAATAAGAAAGGACATACAAATTGGATTAAGCACTTGACAACAAGTGATTAGAGAACTTCAAGGATTAAAGTTTCTTGGTCTGAGAAAGGATTAAGTATTTGACAACAATGAAATGCAAATGGGACCTCTATTCTATAATTAAAAAGATTGGTCCCCTTACTTTTAATTCTTGAGGCACCACCACATGTTGTGACTATGTGAACGAGTTTTGACTTGTCAAATTAGGACCTTCGCCTTCATCCCTAATCCTCCCAAAGTGAGACCAAAGTAGCTTTTGAGCTGTTCAACGTCCATGATTCAAGACTTTATCAAATGCAGAATTTTGTGCAACTTTTGCTTTGCTTAGATTGGACTTTATCAATGAGTTGTCCTAAATAAAATAGAATGGCCCTTTTTTCTGAGATGAATTTGAATAAAGTTTTGCTTTCCTCGAAAACTGATAATTCAATTTTAAGTAACGTAATTTATCAGATTATTAGTTCCCTAAACTGATTGATAAAAAATTGTACCAATAAAATCCACCAAAGTTCTCATAATTGTTATTTTCATTTATCTAGTTTGCCATATGTTTATTGTTTGTTTTCATTTTAAGTCTACTCTAGATCTTATCTATTCACGGCACTACCAATGGTCTTAAGTTCGAATACACAGGACACCTTGATAATGTGTGTGTGAGAAACCCCAGCCCCCTCCCTCTTATAATTTAAACTCTCACTTGTAATAAATAAATAAAATTAATACTAATATTATACATTTTATTCTTGTATAACTAGATGCATTGTTGATTTAGTTAGAAGACAACTAGCCCATATTAAAATCCAACTGCTATTAAAGATAGATATATCTGTTTATGTTTTCTATAAAGAACATGAAAAGATTTGAATCCATGGGTCAACTAATCATCAGTTTTAGGATAAAGAAGTTGACCATGTAAGAAAGCATGACATTATTGAATTGAGAATGCATCTCTGAATCAGTTATCTAAAGAGGAAAAGAAACATGTCATAATAGCATAACATCACTGTCATTATAGTTCCATGCACAGCCTGCATTTGCCAACAACATTTTGCTTCATTTCCTCAATATTTAAAATTTTATGTGACACCTAACATTAACATCAACCATGCATTGGGAACGGCGGAGGATTGATTTATGTTCCAAGCAAGGAAAAAAAAAAATTTTTCTTTTATTTTATATTAATGATTTTTATTAGGTTAATTAGTTTGAAAATGTTTGTACATGTGAACCAATTATTGTGTGGTGGTATGACCCTCTTGCATGCTTTGGTGGTCCACTAATTCTTTGCTTTAATACAAAGCTGTCTTGAAGATGATAATACAGCCACTCTTTTTTTCTTTTTGATGAAAATAATACAACTTGTTTAGACTGCAAAAGACGGAAAAAAGGAAAAAAGATGAATGGGTTTTTTTTTTTTTTTTTTTTTTTTTTTTATTTTCTTTAATTTTTTATTGTATTGAAAGTTTAAATAAAACATCTTGTCTCTGTTGATGAATGGGCTCAAGACAACTTCACTATGTACACTACCATCCTCCATTCTTATCCAAGATTTAATAGAGAAAGGCTGCTGGGTGATTTCCACAATTCTAGCTCCTCTATCCCAGTTTCCATAGCCACCATAACCAGTATGCCTTGCAAAGCATAGCCACAGTTTTTCATAAGGGCAGCACCAGTCCAATCCATGGTTGTGTCCTACAAATACTGCCTGCCACAACACCAAGGAAAAAAAATTAGAATCCCAATAAGCAAATCCACAGCTTCATAGGAAGCTTCATAAACTTATTACAGCTTCAGAAAACCCAATAACTTATTGACATTTTTTAATCATGTAAGTATATTGTTAATTTAAATATCAAGTTAAAATCATCTGACTGTCCTATAGTTTCACATTCTATAAGTTTTGTGTGGCTGGTGACAGATTCAGATAGGGTAACTCATGGTGGGAGAAGAAGAAAAACCACTAAGATTAGCATATAAACCAAATCCAACCAGCGAGATAAAACAAGATGTGGAAAGAACCAAAAGTAATCAAACAGTTTGGTGACGACAGAGTCAACAACTCTTCAGTTGATGAGAAAAAAAATTGAGTAAATAAGGGCGCAAGATTATAACATTTCACAGGAATTCCAGTCCAAGTATGTAAGAAGATTGCAAGTTTAATTCTTTCCCCATGGACTATTGTCAATTACATGGATCAAGAATGAGAAATTTTGTCAAGAATTTAGAATAGATTAGAACATTAACTTTAAGAAGTATCAATATGCGGTTTTTTTATTTCTATTGGCACAAACAAATGGTACAATGATGATTGCATTGACAGATTTTATACAAGAAAGCAGAAGGCAATTATCATTTACCTATCATGCAATGAGAGAGACAAATCAACAAAGTCTCAAGAACAAATGAATATCAATTTTTGATAGCATGCAAAAAGCAATATTTAAAGTACACAATGTTTTAACAAACACCATGGCCAAAAAGTAGTAAAATGGTTCGACCAACTGCCTATGTCCACAGTCCACTACCAGCCACACAGCTGGATTATCTGAATCCTAATTCACTAAATAATGGGTTTTACGAGTTAACCCAGAGATGCTTACAATCTGAAACTAAATTTAGTTTTGTTCATGCTGGATCAACAAGACACAACTCAAATCTGGGTTTTATTAACTCTAGGATTAACAAGAACCTTAACAAACTAGAGCTTGAAAAAGAAAACCAAAAACCTAAACATCAACACCCTCAGGCACAGGTGGCTAGCCACTGGTTTTCACAACCAGGGCACACTCAGTCAGCGTAACTTGGATATCCCTATCAAGTTTCGCAATATCTAAAGTGAGTGATTTAGGTATTTTCTTTGTGCCTAACAATGCACAAATGGGGCATGGAATTACCACGAATAGCTGAGAGAAGATTCGATTTTTTTTGGTCTTTTCTTTTCCAACAATGCCTCCATTTGAGTCCAAAGTGACCCTGGAGTACAAGATAAAACCTAAAAAACAAAATTAGTAAATCCTATACTCAGCCTAATGCCTCCTAGAGTTGATGATTGCATTCTTTGGCTGAAGCAAGTGTGCATATGAGTTGATCTTTACATCTTTTGGTTTCTTGAGGTCTTCATGTCTTCAATTGTTCTATGCTAAGTTCAAGTTCAAGGAATATGCAATTCCAGGTTCATAGACTAACAATGAAAACACTTCATGATTACATCCACAAAAATTCACCATTGTTGAAGATTTTCATGAAAGCTTTTCCAAATTTCCAAAGCAGTATTCTAACTCAGAGCAGGTGTAGTAGGATGTTAAAGTTGGTCAGAGGGTGTGTGTGCCTGTGCTTTATACACGTGTTTGTTTATCATTACCAGAACACTGTACCCCTTTTAAATTTTACTGGATGTGTCCTATTCAGGAGCATGTATATAGGGTAATCATGCTCATCTTTGACCACACCTATGCAGGGTAAATTTTTATGGGAGGGAAAAACATTTGACCTCACCTTGGCAGAAACCCTTTCAACCAAAAGTTTCATGATACCCGTTTCAGCTTCTTGGGTTGCTACCTTCTCTTTGTTAATCGAACCCACACAAGGCTTGTGTATGCCAAACAATGGAGCAACTTTCTTATAAGCACAACTTGGTATATGCCAAAAGATTATCTCTGGGACCCTGTCAAATAAGGCTTTCTTTGATTGACAAGAAATACAAGGAGTAAGAATAAAAAGAAGATTCATTACTTTAAATCAATTTTGTCTTATTTTGAGAATGAAAGTAAATCTCGGAAATTCATGTAAATATCTTTCAGCACACATGCACACAAGATAATAAAGTCCAAATTTTCTGGAAGCGCCTGCAAGAAAATCAAATACCAAGCTAACACTAGTTAATAAGGTGACAGAAAGACAATACCAGGTCATTCTTCCATAATTTTGTACCTTGAATCAGGGTTAATCTCTAAAGCTTTCTTCCGGAACCATTCTGCTTGGGTACTGGATATAACTTCTGGGTAGGAACCACCACCAGAGTCTAGGAAGTACAAAAATGCCACAGGTGACTTGGGATTTTCTGATGAAAAAACTTGGAGGACATAGTTGGATACACTAGGCCAAAGTTCTTTAGGGCCAAATTGAGAATATGATAGCGCATTAAGCTCAATTTCATTTTTCATTAGCTCCAGACGTTGTGTGCCTTTGAAGCTACAGTCTTCTTCCCCTACAAATCAGATGGCCTTGTCAGAGAGCAACTAGCATCCAAATCAGATGGCCTTACCAATTATTCTCCTAAAACCTATCAAGTACCTAAATCATTTGGAAGAAGAGAATCATACGTTATCACAGCATTGACAAATATTTTAAATTGATCCAACTCAATGTTTCAAAACCAAAATATATATATATATATATATATGATTATGATTGAGGGCAATTCAATTCAATAGGATTGAATTAACTGAACAGAATTTGATACTCCTAAAGTAACAGATCAGAACCTGTCAAGAGTCTCCTGCTTTTCAATTCATCAAACACAGATTTGAATGCCTACATTCAAATTTTAGAACATTAAACTTGCAGTGTAGAACAAAAAAAAGGATGCAATCATAATCAATGGTAATGCTCATTGACGAAAGAATTTATTTGTGTGACTTATTTTTATATTATTATATTTACATTCCACATATTATAGTAGGCCAGCATGAAAGAGGTTATCAATGCTAAAAGTCGAGCAACTCATGACTAGTCATAAGTACTAAACAAAAGGAAAAGCAAAGTTTATCAAAATCTTGGACACCAAAAAGATCAAACTTCCAATTCACCTGAGCATGATGAATTGGCTACAGGGCAATGAATTTTAGGAATTCCAGGGGGTGAAAACCACTCTATTGGCCACTCAAATGCTGCATCATCATGGTTTCCGAACACACTGGCCCAAGGAATACCCTTGGCTCTTGTTGGAGAAACTGCCTGATCCCAGTACAGGCTTGCATTTCTAATTGCTACATTGTTGGCTGTGATCACATCTCCAAGATAGATAACAAAATCTGTCATGTACCTTCAACTCATCAGAATTTATAACAATACAACAGATAAAAGTTTTGGGTACTGGAATGCTAATACCTAGTAAAAAAATTAAAAAGTTCAATACTTTTGTTTCCATCTTCCCTTGAAACAGGCAAGCATACAGGCCAGACTAAATAAGAATTTCGATCTCTTATTAGCTTCAAAACAACCAGAAATGTGAAAAACGAACATATATTTGTGTACAGATATCATTTTAAACTTTTCCCCCTTTCTATGTGTAAAGGAAGCCTAAAATTAGAAAAAACAAAGACACCAAGCTCTTATATTAATCGCAACAATTGATGACAGTTGTGGTCATAACATTGTATATAACATCAAATTCAACTCTATAAAAATATCTAAGACCAACAGTAACAGCCAGCCCTTTGCAAATTGACTAACCTCAACTTAACCTAATGATTTTTTTATTAAATGGTATGGAGGAAGCCCAAAAATCTTAATAAAAAAATGCATTAATTTAATATGATAGCTAGTGAGAGAAGTCAAATATCAGTCTTTTGGGTTTCTTCCAAAGCTATCAAACGTGGTTACTAGAACTTTCAATGGTTGAAACTTCTGCGGAAGCAACTAAACGTGGTCAAAAGTTCAGGTCCTATTTTAATTATAAAAAAGGGAACAATCTTTGATAAACTCACCTGGGTTTTCATCATCGAGTACAGAGGACATGACCCTGGTAGAGTTCACGTCCTGGAGTGGGCCCCAATCTGTGGACTCCGCCTCTCCAAAATGCAGGTCAGCAAACAGAGCGATCTTGAACGGTGCACCCGGCCGTAGTTGATGGTAACCTTCCGGCTTGGTTGGTAGAGCGACGGTGGAGATGAGCAGAGAGTATAGATACGGAGATATCAAGAGCAACAAGAGCCTTCCCATCATCACCAGGCAGAGGAGGGACAGTCCACAGTTGCGTTGGTGTTAACGACAGCATTGCTTATACCGAAGGCTGTGGCCTTTTGGTGGGAAAGAGGATGAAATGTCGGAATATTCCCCGACTTTGTACTTGCAGATGTGGACAATTCTTTGTTTTTCCCTTTCTTTTAAGTAAATAAAATATTAATACAAAATTAAAAAAAAATTATCACCAAATTACTCGACATCCATGAAATGAAACTATCAGTTTTCGTTTCGTTGTCTTCTAGATTAACACCCGTAGTTCAAGTTCATCCCCGTAGCGTGAAGTTCTGTCGAAATGTATGTTAAATTTCTCATGTGACATGCTACGTGTATTAAATAAGAATGTTGTTATTTCCTCGCCTTTTTTATTTCTTCACTTATATTATATTCTCAACACCCACCGTATAAATTTTTAAAAAATACAATTTTATCTTTTCACTATTATTATTCCCAAAATACCCTTTTAAAATATAAACATTTTGACACATCTCTTTTCACTTAATTCTAAGCATAATAGTGTTAGATTTTAATTTCATTAAAAAAATAATAAAAACCAATAATTAATGAAAAAATAAAAAGAAAATCAAAACACCCACAACCCACCAAAACTCTCACCCACCCAATCCGGTCAACCACCCCACCCTCTGGCGGCGACCCCCTCTCCTTCCCACGACCGACAAAGCAATTGATTCAAAGAATATCAAATCGTCTTGGCAAAATAGATGCAATTGGATGTCTCCTAGACAATTTAATCGCCTCGAAGCCACTTAACCTATATTAGAATCCTAAGAAACTTCTACACCAGCCAGTGCTTATGAATCAGTCCAAATGTTTTCTAATTGAGACAGTTTTCTTGATGAGGTGGTATAAATCCTAAGGTATTTCAAGGGCAAGGCCATGCGCCTTGAGTATACGCAATATCTTGCTTCCGATAATACTCTTCACTTAAGCAATCCCATGAGAATCACGTAGAATAACACCAATTTGAGAGGGTGTTAGACCCTTCTTGGCAAACTTGCATATATTCTCCTCAACATCTTGAGTAGAGATCTTCAGTAGCTCGGGGGTTTTACGTACAAACCTATTGAAAACTCAATGGTACGAGTAAATTTCATTTATGACAAAAAAAAATACATGGGGGGACATAATGAGCCTTACCCCTCAAGCAAGAACACCAAAATCGAAAAAACTAATTGATAAACCTTAATTGTAAATCCCTAATTAATACTTCATAAACCATAACTAATCCCAAAAATTTCATAAGAAAAGAAGATAAAGAATGGAAGATTACCTTAGTTTGCTTTAATTAAGTCCGAGGACATACATAATTTTCCTTTTTGTCGAAGAGCAAGAGTTAGCCACTAGTGGATGCAATAGAGTGAATTCTTTTTCTGCAAGAGTTAGCCACTAGCGGATTCAATAGAGTTTTTTTTTTTTTTTTTTTTTTTTTTTTTTTTTTTTTTTTTTTTTTTTTTTTTTTTTTTTTTGGTAAAGGAGAGAGGAATGTCTATGCCTAGTGGGAGTCTAATGTTTTTCCACGTGGGGTGTGGGGTTTAGTTCTTTTTATTTATTTGTTGGTTAGCCTAGTTCTAGTGGGATTAGCTAATAATATTTTATTTGGATGGTCAACCTAGTCCTAATGGGAATAGTTAATCATACTTATTTGGATGACCTAGGCAGTGACGGATCCAGGAATTTTTCAGGGGAAGTGCAAGATTTAAAAGACTAAAAAATCGCAAAGGACTCAAGCAAGGTCCAAGGTTCAAGTCTAATATCCATGTAGTGTCTTAAAAAAAATTCAAAAATTAATTTAGACAACCAAATGCCCTTAGAATTTTAACAATACTAATGTTATTCGTAATTAAAACAAATAAGAATTTTACGTGTATTACTAATTGATTACAGTCTGTATGGAATATCAATTAATATGAACAAAATCCATGTCAGTGACACAATTAGTTTACCAAAATTCATATCAAATATGAACAAAATCCATGTCAATTACATAATTAATCTAACAAAAGTCAATACCAATTAATCTAACCAAAATTAATACCAATTAATCTATCCAAAAGCACATGTGATTTAGAGGCCATATGAGTTTTTAATGAATTTTTTAAGTTAGGCCAATTAGAAATGGACATGTGTCAGCTTGCTATTGGACCATTTAAAAAAAAAATCAAAAGTGAGAAGCAGAGTCTTTCTTCTTCCTCAAACAGCCTCTGCAACTCTAACTTTAATTCTAGAAAAACTTCGAAAATTCATAACTTTGGTTGTGGAGCTCCGATTGATGAACCGTTTTCTCCTACATGCTCGTGAGATCGAGCCCAACAATCTAAGGTAAATATTTAGAGTCTCACACAGCAGCAAACAAAACAACATCTTTGAGGCATTTCGTCGAACAATTGGTGGGCAATAGCGAAGGGGCAAATTCTGACATCCACAGGAAGTTTCCGCCAGTGGACCTAGGCTAGAGTATTAATTTAGCTTTAAAAAAAAACAAGTTATCTGGGCTTTAGCCCAAATTAGTGTGCTAGTGGGTACGTCCCTGGCCCCATGGCGACTGGTCGTCTATGTGTCGTTTCTAGTCACCCTAGTTTTTGCCTCTCTGTTACCCACGGAGAAGCTGTTGGGTCTTTTGAATTTCTTCCATTATTAGTTTTTATTATTTTTTTAGAATTTATGTCCTCAGAAGTTATTTTATAAAAGGATAAATTTGTCTTTAAAATTTTGAAGATAAGGTGAGCGGAGAAATATAATAGTAGGTGGGTGAAAATAACAGCACTCTTTAATGACAGCAACCTTCTCCCTTATCCTCTTGACATGTGTGACTTTCTTTACACACAAGATAAATTTTGTTTTCCAAATTTACCCTTATTAAATATATTGACTTTTTTTGTACAAGGGTAGTCTTTTTCAAACTTTCTTACCACCCTGTTAAAAAAATCCAATTTTAAATTTAGAGAAAGAAAAAAAATGTCACCTTTTCTTACAACTTTCTTGCCACCTTTTCACTCTAAACGTTAGGTTTTTTCTTTTTTCTTTTTTTGAAAAAAAAATGTCCCCTTTTTTTTTCTGGAGAAAATAGACGTTGCTAATAAACTAGTTTAATTTTTTTTATATAACAACTAGTTTTTTAATTAAGTATTGTGAAAATTACTGTGAATCTGTTGTTGCTAATAAAATATTCTATCACTTTCTATTTTAAAAATGTATTTTATTTTTCAATGGATATTGGCATTATTGATATTTATCTTCTTTTTTGTGGTTTTTTTTTTTTTTTTTTTTTTTTTTTTTTTTTTTTCTTAACTTATTTAAATATCTAAAAATAATAACTACAACATATCTCTTTTGTTATCATGGAAGTGACATCATTTTTGTTGTGGAAAAAAAAATATTTCTCTTTGAAAAAATAAATAATAAAAACGGCATTTTTTTCTTATTTTTTTAAAATAAGGTTGTAAACAAAGGTGCAAAAAAAAATTATATATATTTAATAAGGATAAGACTTGGAAAACAAAAATTAGCTTGTGGGATGCATTAATGACATTGTTTTAAGTGTAAGGAAAGTGACATTTGTTGTGAAAAAAATAAAGAAGGTTAAACAGAAAGTTGCTAGCATTCTCCTTTATTTAATACACGTGGAATGTCACATGAGAAATCTAACAAACATTTGGACAGAACTTCACAATATGGATGAACTTGAACTACAAGTGTTCATCTAGAAGACAATCTTTGACATTAATGACATTTTTTTTAATAAGGTGGTAACAAAGTTGTAAAAAAATCATCAATAAATTTAATAAGGATAAGACTTGGAAGAAAAAAAAAATATTAGCTTGTGGGATGCATTAATGACATTGTGTTAAGTGTAAGGAAAGTGACACATGTCGTGAAGAAAAGGGAGAAGGTCCATATGAGAAGGAAAGTGCACTTATATTTTTTTTAATTGAAAAATCAATAAAATGATTTACACAAAGATAGGTAGCCCACATGTTGTCACAGTAGATGGTGGAAAACATAAGGGAAGAGATACCAAGCTCATGAAGAAGAGTGGACACCCAAGAAAGTTCAATAGCAGTAGTGGGGGTTCTATCATAACGATTGCTCGCCCAATTTGCATTAGAGAATGCATGAAGATGTAATGGTTGATGACACCGAATATATAGACTATAGTGCAAAGTGTTTTTGAGGCAGCACAACAGGCGTTTGATAGCATACCTCAATGCAATTGGGATGGGCAAGGCATGAACTTCTATAGTTTATTTGAGAATGAGATATCTGGTCATGTACGATATAGGCATTATAAGGCACCAATGACTTGACGATAAAGAGTGGCATCAGTGGGAGATGATCCATCAACAAGGCTAAGGCTTTGACAAGTTGACATGGGTGCATAAGTCTTCTTAGCACCCAACATGTTGGTTCAGTCAAGGAGGTCTCGATGTACTTATGTTGTGTCTAAAACATACATGATTGGTATAAACAACCTCGACACCGAGAAAGTGGTGAAGGGACCCAAATCTTTGATGGAGAACTTACTGGACATTGCTTGAACGAACTTGGCAATCAAGAAAGAGCTATTACTTACGACAATAAGATCATCCACATACACATAAAAAAAACTATATTGTAATGTTAGTAGCATTGTAAATAAATAATAAAAGATATCGTACTTGGAGTGCTTAAACCCTTATAGGAGAAGGAACATTTTAAATTATTTATACCAAGCATAAGGTGCTTGCTTGAGATCATAAATGGCCTTAAGAAGACGACAAACACACTACAAAAAAGAATGCCTTTAGCGAGGGTGATTTATGGTCGGAAAAGGTGTTTTGCAGTCGAAAATACCCTTTTTTGACGGCAAATTGCCATCGGAAGTCGTCGAAAAAACGCTGGTTGCAAATAGTTTTTTTCCAACCACTCTGTCGGAAATAATGTATTTTCGACGCCCATATTTCATCGATATTGCTTAAATTTCT